TTTATTGTTCATCTGAAAACTATAATAACGTAAATGTTTGAAAACTTTTTTTAATTACACAATTTTTTATGAAAATTATATTCTAATGAAGTAATTATCTTTTAATGAGGGAAATGTTTCGCCTCATGAACTCATTGCTCTAGCGATATGTTTAAATTCATTCTCTAAGATCTGAATTTGCCTAATAGTTAAAAGTTATCGACGAACTCAAGATGAGAAGAGACAATAGACTAAAACTAATTTACAATTGTCCTTTTTTTTTCCCGAAAGACAACATTAAAAAAGCGAAAGATTAAAAAATAAATATAAATATTAAATTTTATTTTTGTAATTCGTTCTCCCCATCATCTACAAATTTTACCTCTAAATATTAAATCTTCTTCTTTTCTATACATGTAGTACTTTATTTTTCTTGTTAAGAGATTTTTTTGTCTTTGAAATAATTGTTGTAGCCTTTTCTCTAAGATTTTTCTATTTTCTTATTTTCATCTTATGTTATTATTTTTTTATTTATATTCACTGTCTTTTATTTTTTGAAAGGATATTTTCGTTGCTTTCAGTATGCAAGTTTTGTTATATTTTTTCCCTCATAATAACGAACAATTAAGGGAATAAAAATATCATTTCAATAATACTCACATTAACTATAAAGAAATCGATATTTGATGGTAATAGTCTCAGTTAAGCAATAAAAACCGAGAAAACAAAACAAAAGCAAAAATTAGATGCGTTCAACTCAAGGGTTTATATGTAAAAAAAAAAAAAAAAAAAAGAATTAAAGGTGGCGTTTGAAGTGTGGCTTGAATCATAGAATGTAAATTTTTATCGTATTAACTAAGTATATTTAAATGTGTTTTTTAGCACATTTATCCTCTAAACTTATCGTAATTTAATAAATTATTTTTCAACTTGTAAAGTTGTGCTCTCAACTTATAAAATTATTATAATATATCTTATTTTAATGACGATTGTGTTAAATTAATACCTAAAAAGTACGTTCAGTTAAAAATTTAAACAAATTTAATTAAATAAAATAAAACAAATTATAATAAATTTATAAATTTAAAAAATAACTTATTAAAATTAAAAAATTTTAAAAAAATTTACTAAACCACAATAAATTTAAAGAATAATTGTATCAACATAAGGCGAAAAGTAAATAAATAGAGCAAGCACCTAAACCTGTCCAAGTAAAAAATGTGAGGTCAACACGTGTACACAAAAAGGCAATTACAAACTTCTCTAAGCGAAACAACATCAACTTCTCTTACACAAAGTCACAAACAATGGGTAGAAGCACACTTGTACACCAAAGTAAATCTTCATATTTAAGGCTTTTGTTATTTTCACAGCTTAAAGCCTCATTTGCTTTGACAGATTTAAATTTTTAATTTTTTTAAAATTTTTAACTATAACAGAAAAAAAATTAGATATAATATTTATTTAGAGCTTTTAATTATAAAAACTTATAACTAAAAATTTAAATTAGTTAAATAAACAAAACTTAAGTCACTTTCTATTATTGTAGAATTTTTTTACAAAAATTTAAATTAAATTTTTTTTTATTGCAATGTTGTTTTATATACACAACTTAAATTTTTTTTAGAATATAACAGCCACAACTTAAGTACGCAAGTCAAAGTAGGATTTATAGTCCTTCAAAATATAACTAATAGATAACTAATAGATAACTAATAGATATTGGTCAGTGCAATGATTGAAAGGTAAACTTGTTAATTTATTCATACTTTAATCGTTGAAATTATTTTTTTGCCGTTTTAAGGGCATTTGCACATCTTAAATCTATTATCTATTACATATTACTTATTATCTATTATTATTATTACCTATTATTAAAAGAAAATTTCTTTTTGAATAGTCTTTCTAAGAAACTCTCCATGTTGTCACGTGACAATTCCTCTCCTCTCAATCCTCTCTTTTTTTTTTCTTTTTACTTTTTTATTTTTATTTTTTAAAATTTAAATGTTTTTTTTTTTAGTTTTTCTTTTAGGGCCTAATACTAAAAGGGATATTTTTGTTATTGTTGATATGGTCAAAATCACATCAAATTGAAAAAATATGTAAAACATATCGTTTTTAATATATATCTAATGGTTAAAATTAAAAAACTAACAGTGACCTATTTTTTAAGACCTATCAAAGAAACTCATTTTTTTATTTTGTGAATTTTTTTTACAATTAAATTTTTTACACGCTTTCATAAAATATATGATAATTTACTCCTATTATTATTGTCTATCTATTATTCTATCACATTCTCTCAAAGGAGAATGCGTTTTTGGGGGAGGCGTGCGAAACATTTCGCACGTTTCTTCCCCACATTAACCCGAAAAAAACTTTTTTTTTTCTTTTTGCTTTCCTTTTCCCTTTTTTTCTTTTCCTTCCCTCACTTCTTTATTCCTTCCTTTTTTTCCCTCTACAATACATTCTTTTTTTCCTTTCTTAAATGTGACCTGCGAAATTTTTTTTCCCCTCTAATTGTCTAATTGAAATAATTTCTTCATATATATGTCCTAATCAAAACTTTTTTTTCAAAATGACCCTCTCAAATACTTTTTTTTGCTATATATGCCTATTTTTTTTTTATTTCTTTTTCCCTTTCTTTCTTTCTTCCCTCCCTTTTTTTCCCTCTACAATACATTCTTTTTTTCCCTTTTTTCAAATGTGACCCTCATAGATATTTTTTCACACTAATTATCCCGTTAAATAATTTCTTCTCATATATGCACTAACCAAATTATTTTTTTTATGAAATGACCCTCTCAAATACTTTTTTGACTATATATGCCAATAAATAATATTTAATATCTTTTCTATAATGTGTCTTTATGCCTAATTTTTGTTATATGTTATTTTTTTTTCCTTTCTTTCTTTCCCCTTTTTTCTTCTTTTCCTTCATTTCTTTATTCTCTTCCTTTTTCCCTCTACAATACATTCCTTTTCTCCCCTTTCTTAAATGTGACCCTCGCAGATATTTTTTCCTCTAATTATCTCGTTGAATAATTTCTTCTCATATATTTCCTAACCATTTTTTTTTATGAAATAACCCTCTCAAATACTTTTTTGACTATATATGCAATAAATAATACTTAATATATTCTTCTAAAATGTGTCTTTACAGAAACATTTTATCTACAATCTTTCTAAATAAATTTATTTTTTGTGTATTACTAAATAATTTTTTATTAATTCGCCCCATTAAGAATTTTTTTCCCTTTTAATGTTGCCCTATTAATATTTTTCTACTAAATTTAATCGTTAAGAAATTAATGATAAAAACCATAAACTATAAAATTTTCTTTCAAAAAGACCTCCAAAAAAAAAATGTTTAATACGCACGCGCGGAGCGCACTAGTTTGTAAATAAGAGGGTATTACTTTAATGAAATTCCGTTATGAGGTATTACTTTAATGAAATTCCGTTAAGAGGACGTTAATACGTTATTGTGATATTAGTAGTCCCTGCTCGATGGCCTTTGGTCATATCGGTGTGTAGCATACTCTTTCTTTAAAAGGAAAAGTGAAAGAAATAAAGTAAATAAAAAAAATGCGAACATGGAAAATAAAAAAGGCTCCCGGCGAGGATCGAACTCGCGACCTTATGAAGCGAACGCACTACCACTACACTACTGAAGCGGCAAGAAATTTAAATCTAAAGTTATAATATATTTACTTTTAAAACAACTACCCTTTTTACGTTTTCAGCTTAATTATTGTGGTGTTTTAGTAAATTGCCCGTTAAATTTTTATTTCTAACATATTGTCTTTTAAACTTGTAAAATTTGTCCACTTTTATTAAATTTGCTCAAATTTTCATTAGATTTAAAGAATTAAAAATTGAGACATTAAAAGAACTGTGTTACATTTTGAATTGGAATGTATAATTTTTTTTTCAAACATGCTTTTTTAATAATAATTTAATATAATCATTATCAAAATATTGTAATAATTTTATAAGTTCAACGAGTAACTTGTCGAAATTAAAAATTAAGTGGGCAAGTTATCAAAACCATGCAAGTTTAGATAGTAATTGTATAAAATACTTTTTTTTTTTTTTTTTAGGTTTTAGCATATTTGCCTCCTAAATTTGTCGTGGTTTAGCAAATTGTCTCTTAAAATTTTAATTTTAACAAGTTGCTCCCTAAATTTATGAGGTTGTAGTAATATGTTTTATTTTAACGATGATTGTGTTAAATTATTTTCAAATAACACGTTCAGCTAAAAATTTTAACATTCTCAACTTTTAATCTCTTATTAGTTAAATGAGACACATTATAATAAATTTATAAATTTAAAAAGTAACTTATTGAAATTAGAAATTCAAGGAACAATTTACTAAACCACTGCAAGTCATGGCAATAGTGCCAAAAGCCCCTTTTTTAATGCTTCTTCTTAGGGCTATTTATGGATTGAGTTGATACATGGTAGGGCTTCTTCTTTCTCCGCCTCAAAGAGTGTGGAGTGTACATATTTAGCTCCAACGATGTTAGAAAAATTTCACAACCTAATTATGTTTGAGTTGGGTTGGGACGGTATGGGGTGGGTTGGGTGGTCAGTTTTAACATTCAAAGAATCAAAGACTCAAAGTTCAATCTAACATTTAAAGTTCATAATCAAATATAAATAATAACTCCAACATTCAAACATATAGAAATTCAAAGTTCAATCTAACATTAAACATGAAACAAAGTAGTCAATCCAACATCAAACATAAAGCACATATAAATTATTCTACACTCATAAATTAGTCTTAATATAAAATAAAAATAGAGGCAAAATTCAAACATAAAGAAACTAGAGTATATAAATAAATTACTTACTTAGGGTTAGAAATGTGTGAACTATTATAGACTCAACTCATATCCCGTCTTAAAATTTCAAACTAGATATTGAATGAGCTGAAAAAAAAAAAAACTAAAAATTGCATTTTTCAAATTAAATTGAGGTGGAGTGGCTTCAGCATGCGGGACTGCGGGTTATGCGGGTTTTACGGGTTTATGAACAGACCGGCTTCTTCTACTACGCCTACCTTTCCTTCCATGTTTCTGTTTGTACACTTCCGCAGTTCAAACACCGGAAAAACGTTTTCAGATAGAAACAGAGAGAAATGTGTGGGATTGCTCTGATCATTTCTGGAGTTCGTTTCCAGCTATCGTCCCTCATCGGCGATTCCACACCTCAAACCGAGCAAGTATATTTAGTTTCCCCATTTTTTTTTAATATTTTTTTTTCAAAGCCCGACAAATTCATGGAAGAGTTCAGAAGCTAACTTTTGGTTTTGGGTATTTTGCAGAAACCGGTTTTCAGCATCGACGATCTCAAAGCCGCTCTGCGGAGGAGGGGTCCCGATAGCTTGGGCGCCAAGAAACTGCTTCTTCAACCGAGGATTTCGCGCCCTTTCGACGACCGAGAAATCGCATCTCTCGTTGGAAAACAAGAGGCTATAGAAACCGATGACTGTTATTTGCAACAGTGCGGCGATAAAAGCCGTAACTTCGGTTTGGCAAATGGTCGAACAGTTAATTTGCAAAGTGAACTCACAGAGAAACACAAAGCCGCCGCGGAATTTCACTTCATTGGCGCCACTTTGCAGCTCAGGGGAACGAGTCCCATCGTTCAGCCCTTGGTAGACTCGTCTAGGAATATCCTTGTTTATAATGGTATTTCCATTTTGCTTAGCTTTGCTTTCTGTCTTTAAACTCTCATTTCCGATTTTTGTAATGTACTGAATCGGGGTTTTCTGTTTCAATGTTGTGAATTCGAAAGGCGAAATCTTTGGGGGAATTTGTACCCGTAGCGAGGAGAATGACACGGAAATTCTGTTGCAAGCATTGGAAAGCTGTGGTGATGCAAGTGGGAAAAAGTTTTCTGTTATAGAAGTTCTTTCGAAGATAAGAGGGCCTTGGTCCGTTATCTATTGGCAGGGAACTCTAAGGGGGGAGTTGTTGTTGGATTTGATCAGAATTTGATACGGCATTTTTCTCGTCATTTCTGAAATGAAAACTGTGGTTTGTTGTGTAGGAAAGTTCAAGAACTCTGTGGTTTGGTCGAGATGCATTTGGCAGGCGAAGTCTTCTTGTGCACTGGCCCACAGCGGACGACTCTCGGTTTCTGCTTTCTTCGGTGTCGCCGGTTTCTCCTCTTGAGCAGAGTTCAGGTATGCATTGCGCGGAAGAGCTTGACTTATCTTGTTAATATCACTCTCTGTTGGGTGTGTCATGAGAGGTAGAAGCAGTAGTTTATATGGCAAAGAAAAAGGTTTTTTTTTGTTTTTTTTTTTTGCCTATAAAGTAATCCTTTTATTGACAATTATGTGCTACTAAATGGAGCATGTTATTCAAATATTGACTAATTCATGGCACATTCCATTATTTTATTGAATTATGTCTGTATAATGCAAACAGAAGAACCAGAAATACTTCAGATTTATTTTTAATGTGTACTTTATTTTATGTTTGGGTTGAATAGTTTCAACTACTATTAACTGTTTGATAATGGACCTGTGCATACTATCATGCTGCTGAGAAAGTAATTTCCTTAAATACACTGCAGATTTAGAAGTTGAGAATAGAATCAACGGTCGTAAATTTTGGGAAGAACTTCCATCTGGCATATATAGCATGAATGTAGATGCTCCAAGTGGTGATGGGTTTTTGGTTTCTGATGTAAGAAAACATGAGTGGGCTGATTCCATGCTACAGGAACTCATAAATTGGGAGAGAGCTTGTGTTGAACCCAGGCCTGAAGATCTACATACCTCCCGTTGTAAGACTCTCACGGTGCAGCAAGGTGAGCAATTAGCTTATTCAAGTATGCCACCACCTGAATCAGGTTGGTAATAGTATCATACCCTGAGACAGAAAAACAGCAACACAGGAGCACAACTGGTGTGAAGATAGGTCACATGTAGAAAGTTCTAATATTTAGTTACATACCTGCTTCCATGTTGACAATATTGATGTTTCCTCGTATTCAATATACCTTTTCTTGTTAGGTTTTAATTTGTGGTTTTTTGTTTTGAACTTTTTGATTGAGTAGGGCCTACACAAGCTCCATTATTGGTGGCAGCAGAGACCGTCCTGATCGCTCTAAGGGAATCTGTTAGGCGACGCTCCTCACTGCACACAATCTTTCAGGTTTTGATCTGTCTTCGTCCTGATTTATAAATTTCTGGGTTATATGTTGTAGCATAATGATTATGTTTGCTGCTACTCTATATTTTATAATGCATACGATCTACTTAGTTTTTGAATCTATCGAGAACCTAAGTTTATTTGCATACTCATCAGATGATTATCCTTGATCTAGCCCTGATATTTGTGAACTTTGTAATACAACTACGTGCCATATATTTTACTCCATGTTCTCTGTTTCTCACTTTATCATACTTTTGTGCTTCAACAGTAATGATAAACTAAGGACGTTTTTGTTTTTTGTATTTTGTTTTTTTTGTTTGTTTTGTTGGTTTTTTTTTTTTTTTTTTTTTTGTTGGTGATTCAATAAGCTCGTATGAGGTACTAGTTTCTCATTGGTTTTGTACTGATAAAAGTACTTGGATTGAATGCTTAGGCAGATACACGTGGTCTAGAAAAGGAACACGTTCCTATGGCTATTCTTTTTTCTGGTGGATTGGATTCTATGATACTTGCAGCATTGCTGAATGAGTGCTTAGATCCCAGATGTAAGTATTGCTAATCTAGCCTCACAATCTTTCCCCTGTAACATTTCATGTGTACGCTTTCGTAGGATATCCGATGTTCTCTTGTTATTTGGAATTTTGATTTGAAACCACAAAATAGAGTTCTTTGTGAAACAGTGGATCCATCCACTATCTGTTGCTTGATTCGAATTTGCTTTGTGACAGATGAGATAGATTTACTTAATGTGAGTTTTGATGGCCAGTCTGCTCCTGATAGGATCTCTGCTAAGGCTGGAGTCAAGGAACTAAGAAACATTGCACCTTCAAGAAAGTACATAGTGAACTTATCTCATTTACAAATACTATTTTCTGTCTAGCTCCCTTGTCACTTCACATACAATTCATTGTATAGATCCAAGACGTGAGTTCTTTTGTTCTTGCAATGCAATTGGAAATAATGAATTTTGGAAAATTTTCTGTTAATAGTTTGGCACATGATGTGCTCATGTAAGGTTTTTGATAAAGAACTTCGTTCTTGTGCTCTTGCATCTCATGTCAATGAGATAACATCTATGTTTTTCCTTCTTTTTCAAAGGGGCGGATTTTCTCATTCATTTACCAAATTCTCTCGGTTCTAATTTACGCGTTGATGATTTATTATGCTTATTTAATTTTATTGGTGTTCCTCATCAAATGAGACTGGATATGCAGGTGGCAGCTTGTCAGGATTGATTCTGATTTGTCGACCCTGACCCATGAAACTAAACATGTCATGTCTCTCATAAGTCCTGCAAATACCTACATGGTATCTATTTTTACTCTATATGCAAACACATTATTATATTATGTACCTATACTATACTGCCTGTTGCTTATCCTTGAAAGGTACATTTCTTGTGATGTTGTGTTATCTCGTTGGTTTTCAAAGGAATCATGCCATAGCCAACATGTTTGTATACTTTTCTGGATAGATGGAATGTTATATTTTGTCTAACGTTGCAGGACCTAAATATAGGAATAGCTCTATGGCTAGCTGCTGCTGGTGATGGATGGGTGTGCGAGGGAGATGATGAGGATTATCTACACGTTAGATACAGGTCAAAGGCAAGGATTCTCCTTGTTGGTTCTGGTGCTGATGAGCAATGTGCTGGCTATGGAAGGCACAGGACAAAATATAAAAACGGAAGGTATGATGTGCTACGGACAGTATTTCTGACGAGTTTCTACATCGTAATTTGTAAAGTGTCTTTTTTGGCTGTATCATGTATTTTTGAGTAAAGATTAGTTGAGATCCTTTCATGTTTGAACTGTATGCAACTCTCTTGGGTGCTTATTAGTGTTTCGGTATTTATAGCTGGCGTGGTCTGCATGAGGAGATGAAATTGGATATGCAGAGAATTTGGAAAAGGAACCTAGGAAGAGATGATAGATGCATTGCTGATAATGGCAAGGAGGTATAGAACTACTCAATATTTAATGTTGCCTTCTTTATTTATGTTGCGTATTGACTGTATTTATTTTAATCAGGCGAGATTTCCTTTCTTGGATGAGGAGGTCATAAAAGTTTTGCTTGATATCCCTTTGTGGGAAGTTACTGACCTTGATCAACCTAGTGGAACAGGTGATAAAAAGATCTTGAGGGAGGCAAGTGCTATTTCCTTCATCTGGCTTACATGCTTTTTCCGTGTCATTTTTATTGGTATTTAAAGGCTATTCTTTCACATATTAAATTGTTTGTCTGTAATGTTTTCTAAAGGTTGCTCAATTGCTTGGTTTGTACGAAGCCGCAACTCTGCCTAAAAGAGCCATACAGGTCTGTAATTATTCTTTGAAAATGTCAAACTTCCTCGAGTTGAACTCTCTTTTTGAGCATCAAATGAACTGATCCAATCTTTCTGCTTTACTGGATTAGTTTGGTTCAAGAATCGCAAGGGAATCGAATAGAAAGAACTTTGGAAGCAACCGTGCTGCCAATCAAGCTTCTGCAGGAAGTGTAGTAATCAACACAAAATCGGGTTTGCCTTAACTTTTTTTCGTCAATTTGCTTAGCTGGGGACTATTTCTGTCTTTGGTTCTAAAGATGGACGACCACAAGATTGACAAAGAGCTCTTGAGAACACTGTTTTCCCATATATTTGCCCAAGCAGAAGACTTGCGCTGCTGGTATGACCTTGGTCTTCAAAACATACGAGCATTATACTTGGTTGTTTATCGATGAACATGTCTAAGACCACAGCTTCTGTTGAGGACTATAGACATAGCACTCATTTGATTACAGCTCTTTAATTTAGTTTTGTTTTGTTTTGTTTTGCTTTTTGCTTTTTGTTTTTTTTTAATCAACATCAGAAACAATAGTTAATAACAAATTGAAAGGTGCCAAGATTGAATTTTGTTGTTTCTGTTGGTCTTCCTAGTACATTTTTTTCCCCACCAAGTACAACATGGACAACAAAATAGATTTGTGATGCAGCAATCGGCTCCTTTGTAAATGCTATGATTAAAAAGGTGCAATCAGTTGAGTTGTTGAATTCTACTGGCTCGTTTGGTTTAAGTCAATGATTTTGATTTTGAATTCAAATTTTATAAGGGAACTCATTAGCGAGAATTTTTTTATTCAAATTTTTTGTGAGAAATGTATTGTAACAAAATTACAGGTTTAAATGTGCGAAACAAACGGTCACTATAAGAATAATTTAACGAATTATATATTGACCAAGATTAAGGAGGTTAAAGTAAAATCAAGAATGTCACTTCTTGTCACGACCCCAAGGATAGGGCCGTGATTATTAGGATTTAATTTAATTGGATTAGTTAAGGAAAATCCATAAAAATAAGATAAAATATGCAAATACCAAAATAGATATTAAAATATATTGCTCCGGAGTCTTTCTTTTACAAACAATATTTAAAATATTCCATAAAGTTTAAAATAATACAACTTTGGGACAATATCAACTAATACATCTTATATACAAAAATACAGTACATCTCATAATTAAAACTGTACATCTGAAACAAACGTACCGCTTCAAATCTCGCACCTTCAATCCATTAGCAAACACTTGTCATGCTGTAAATCTAAACTGCTAACTCTGGAGGGGGTTTAAAACATTGAAAATAGAGAAAAAGTGAGCGAAAGACCCAGTAGGATATAATTTATAAAAACTGAATAAATAATGAAAATACAGGCCTGAAAAAATCATTCGGAACCAAACAACATTTTTACTGAAAGATAAATAAACTTAAATTTCAGATTTCAGGCAACCAACAAGTAATTTAATAAGAGCAATACAAGGCCAAACACCACTGTAGTGGCCCGTACGGGTTTCAGGTCCTGCCCCTAAGGATACAATCTCCATATCCTGATATGTAGGCCATCAACGGGTTTACCGGTTCTTAAAACATCTTATTTTAACGAAATATCTGTTAAAACCTTATTTCAGTTCATTATGAGCTCAATAGCATATTTCATGCTATTTCTAAAACATGTTTTGTCTTTAAAATATTTTCATAAGTCAAATTACTTTGAAACAAGACTAACAATGATACAGACAAGAATATCGTACCTCTTGGCAATTTAGTATACTGACCACTTCACGTTGCCCAACTGTTTATTCTTAAAGCTTCACGGCTCGTTCTGAACTTCAACGAATCCATTCAATTCACCTCGATATGCGTGCACGGTACCGGTAGACTTTTCAACCGAGTGAAATTAGCACAAACGTAGGTCACCGTTGCGTTCAGAATGTCGAAATGAGTCAGGATATGGTCTCGGATTGACGAACGAGAGTCGGGAGTCTGCTGAACGGAAGCTCACCAGAATTCGGCCTCATGAGGCGGCGACAACGGCAGGGGGCGGCGTCCCAGAGAGTTTTTCTGCGGCGAACTTGGGTCCTACCCCCCAAAAATTGACCATTCTGAGTTCAATGGTGCAGTCAATTTCACAAAATTATGACTCTAACTACATAGATCGGGATAGCCAACTTCGAAGATTTCCGGCGACTCGGATCTTGATTCTCCGCATATGGAATCTCAAAATTGGTAGAGGGCTTTTGTTACTCACTTACTTCTGAGTGTTTTGACACCAAAATCATGACGATCCAATAGCTAGATTGTCGGAACCACCCCTTACCTCCGCGGATAGCGGCGGCGGCTCTGTTTTTCTGGCCAAACAGCAACGGTGGGTTTGAAACTGGTCGGGATCAACTCGTCTTTGAGTTCTAAACCTAGTAGTGAGGGTGGTGTCAACCAAAACTGGCCGGAGATAGAAAACCGAAGGTGGCGGCGAGCGGCTTTTCTGGCGACTTTGACGGCGGCATTTCGGCCAGCGACGAGCTGCGAAAATGGTCGGGGTTCTCTTCGTCTCTTCATTCTGAATTTACAGGAACTGAAATCACCTCGATCGGATATCAGATGGAGGAGATATCGTGATCGAAATTTTTGATTATTTTTAGAATTTCGGTCGGCGATTGTGGCTGATTCTGGCGGAGTTAGAGGTCGTGCAACAAGTCAACATACTCAGCTTGTCGAGATCCTTTACTACGAGTTAGGAGGTGTCAAAAACGGACACTGGAGTCCTCACTGGAGTGCTTGGCCAGCGTGGAGAGAGAGGGAGTCAACGTGGGAGAGAGAGAGAAAGAGAGAAATGAGAAAAAGAAAAGTAAAAAGGAAAAGTAAAAAAGAAAAATGAGCTTAGACTTTTGGGTAAATTTGATAATTAGACTTCAAAGTCCAATTTGAACATAGTATGATATGACCTATTATTCATTATCTGAAAAATTAGTTACCAACACTTAAAACTGTTCAAGGGATAACAATGTCAATTTCAAAATAATTCTTTTTAAAGGGAAAGATCTTTTACGTGATAATTATAAATGAAATTATTTCATTAATCGCAGATTAATTAATACTAATCACAGGATTTGATTAATTAATCTCAATTAATTTAACTAGATGTTACACTTCTTCGTGGGTTACATGACGAAAAAAAACCTTATGCAGGAAAAAAAATTAAACAGGACATATTTGAAATTTTTTTCACATTTGGATGTATTATTGGCTTATTAGCATAGTTAGTTGATGAAGTATGAGCATTGTGATTCTTTGTTTTTTTTTTTTGTAATTTTTTTGGGGAAGTTTTTTGTTTTTGAAGGTTTTGATCCATGATATTAATTAGTATAATCATGTACCCATCTCATATAAAATGTGAGTAGATTTTAGTGTCACAATTGATAAACAGAAAGTATTCAATACTCATAATTCACAAACTAACCTTGATATAAAATCACATGAGAAACTTGCAATTTTAGTGCGTCTGAGAGGAGTGAGTGCTCCTTTGTATAGAGTTTAGAGGAGACATTTGGCTTCATCTTTTTTTAATGTAGGACAAGAGACTTTTAACTTCTTGAAAGTTTTTCTCTTTAATTTTATCTTATTAACTTGCAATCTTCACATTTCTTATACAATAGACCATAATCAATGGTACCTTTTAATATATATGAGGATTCGCCGAACTGCTTCTAAATGGGACTTCTTTAAATTTTGTATGTACCGACTTACCACACCAACTGCAAATGAAATGTAAGGCAGTGTCAAAATTAAGTAAATAAGACTACCTACTAATTGTCGATACATCGTCCCGTCCTTTAAATCTTTGCCTTCATGTGCGCAAGACTTGGCATTTGCTTCTATTGGTGTTGAGATAAACTTGCAATCAAGATCCCAAATTTCTCTAGCAGGTCTCCCGCTTACTTCTGTTGGCAGAGAAACAACCCTTCTTTTGTGCGATCAACAGCGAAGATGTTTGATCCCTCCAAGCTGGTACCCCCACTGTCGTGACTAATCAAAACTAAAAAAAAAAGAAGATTTACACTGATACCCCCATTGTTGTGATTAAATCATAAGAGACACCCGTTGATTAATACATTTTACTTACATATCATCTCCTTCCTATAACTTCGTTCATTTTAATATAAAGATGTTTGGTTTATGTATTCAGAATCATAATTTAAAATTATTCTCGTTTTACGTGTATTTTTTATGAAAGAAAATACTGTAGAGAACAATGAATCATGATTTAAAATCATAGACGAATATATAAAATAAACATCCAGTAAACTAATATTTGATCGCGGTTGATCTTGGCACTTGATTCCAAATAAAGCAACCATCGTTTTTTCTATGACGTCACTCGCACGCAGATGCTTCGACCCGGGCTCCTCACAATCACGCAACACCGCCCACTCAAGCCCACCCACGGCGGCCCACCACTACAGCTAGGTTGCTAACGGTAGTTTGGCTAACAGTAGAGGATGTGTCTGTAGTTGTTTCAAAAATTCGGATATATTGACGTGAAGTATTTTTATCAAGGGCGTCTCTGCAATTTAAGTAAAACACAAGGAGTATAAGTGTAATTCTCCAGGAAAAAAAAATAAAAGAGGAAGTCAAGCTCAAGGGTTTAGGGTTTAGCAATTTTACATAATCTCCCCAATAAATAATCTTACTGTTGTTTCGTATCCTTTCAACACCCGATGTTGTGTTGTGCTACTCGTACACACACACACACACACACATATATATATATATATAGGCGCGCATATACATTTTTGGTATATATAGCTTCATTTTTCTTAGACTTTCTGTTTATCATTCTTGTTCTGACATGGATGGAGGGCCATACGACATCTAGTAGTAGCAGTAACACCATTCACAACGACAACAGTAAGCAGTGGAGAGCAGAAGAAGCCATAGCCGGCAACGCCGAAGCTCTCGAAGCTCTCAGAGAGCTCATCACCTTCCCTATTCTCTATTCTCGTGAAGCCCAAAAGCTCGGTCTCAAAGTACAAATACCCACTTTCTCTTCTCTCTCAATTTCATGTGAATTTTTCTTTATTTGATATCAATTTTTGGGCTTTGCTTTCAGTGGCCTAAAGGTTTGCTTCTCTACGGCCCTCCTGGCACAGGAAAGGTACTTTCACTTCACCTTCGTTTATAGACTTGTTTCGGAAAGCAGTTTGTTTCAAACCTTTTTTTTTTTTTTTTTTTTTTTTTTTTTTTTAAAATTTTTTTTTTTTTCTTGTTTTTTAAGTTTTTTATTTTGTATTTTTTGTTTTCGTGATTTTTAAAGTTATTAGATTGGTTTGCTTTCATTTCTTATTTTCGAATGCCAATTTTGTTGATGCCAGACAAGTTTGGTTCGTGCAGTGGTTCACGAATGTGGTGCTCATTTAACTCTAATTAGGTAATGCCATGATTTTGTTTGTGCCTGTTTAATTTATGGAAGTGCTATATTCATGATATTTTCGTGGTCTGCAATTGTTGCAATGCTCTAATTATGGTTTTTTGCTTAATGGGTTTTAGTGTCCTATGTGGTTTTAATGATTTGGTTACATGATGTTTTGTTGTGTACCGTACAGTCCACATTCTGTTCACAGGGCTCATGCTGGGGAGAGTGAGAAATTTTTGCGGGAGGCGTTCGCGGGGGCCTCATCCCATGCGAAGTCTGGGAAGCCATCAGTTGTTTTTATAGATGAAATAGATGTGCTCTGTCCTCGTCGTGATTCTAGGTATTAGACCGCCAATAATGCGAAAAATGGTTATTTGTTTTGGACAAAGAGTGGTGCCCATTCTGCCTGTACATTTGGGACTTGGTGTTTTTCATTATTGACAAAAGTTTCGGAATGGTGGTCAAATTCATGATGTATCTTGGAAAAGAAAGCAAGACTTTGTTTTTCTGATTATGAAAAAAGTTTGGATCTAGTTGAGTGTCTGTTGTTTCATGTTTAAAGTATGATTTGAAACTAAAATGCAGAAGGGAGCAAGATGTGCGCGTAGCGTCTCAACTCTTTACACTAATGGACTCCAATAGGTCATCAGTACCACAAGTTGTTGTTGTTGCATCAACTAACAGGTAAATCTCAGATTTCGGATGAAGAATTACGGAACTAATTGTTAAATAGTGGATTTAGATGAGGGTATAACTATTTTGTGCATAGTGTTTTTAGATGTTGGGCTTGCAATTTTTTAGCTGCACTATCCATCAAGTTTTGAACAATATTTTTCAAATTCTACGTTTGTAATATTGATAGGATCTTGCTTACACATAAAAAATATGGACAACTACAAAAGAACATAACTTTAGTCTTTATTTATTGCGTTTGAGTTAGAAGTAGTAATTTCTGGTTTTTATGTGCAAAGAGTGGATGCTATTGACCCTGCGTTAAGGAGGTCGGGCCGCTTTGATGCGGAAATAGAAGTTACTACACCTAGAGAACAGGAGCGCTTTCAAATTCTCAAGGTAAGATTTATTTTTTATTGTTTAAGCCAGTCTGGTGAATTATTAGTAAAATCAATGACTTTCTTGACCATCTTTTTAAGTCTCCTTGTTAGTCAGCTGGTCAATTATTTTATTGGATTTGTCAATAAGGTAAGAGGAATCTGAGATATAATTGTAACTGAGTTAGTGATTGTTCAGCTTTACACGAAAAAGATTCCTATGGATCATAGTGTTGACTTACAAGCAATAGCTGCGTCTTGCAATGGATATGTTGGAGCTGATCTCGAAGCCTTATGCCGTGAGGCTACGTTGTCCGCAATTAAAAGGTCTTCTGATGCAAGTGAAGATGCTGGCGCATTCAGCTTAACAATGGAAGACTGGAAGCATGCAAGGACTGTGGTTGGCCCAAGTATAACAAGAGGTGTTACAGTGGAAATCCCCAAGGTGACATGGGAAGATATTGGAGGACTAAGAGACTTAAAGGTATGTGAAAAATTTTGCATGTCTACCTCATTCTTAAGTTTAAATGGCATGAATTATACTTGCCTTTCTTCATCGATAGAAAAAACTCCAACAAGCTGTTGAATGGCCTATCAAACATTCTACTTCATTCACGAGGTTGGGAATATCCCCTGTGCGCGGGATTCTTCTGCATGGTCCTCCCGGATGTTCAAAAACCACTCTTGCTAAAGCTGCAGCCCATGCTTCCCAAGCTTCTTTTTTCTCATTGAGGTTTGGACTTTTTCATAATCTTCATCATTTGACGTTGCAACATTAACAATGATTAGCAGAATCATGATATTAGACCATATTGCTTATGTTGGAGTCTAGATTTTGTAGGCTTATCCCTGCTTTAGTTGAATCTCATTTTTCCTTTCTGATAGGCTGAACATTGGAGAATCAACCATGTAGTTTCGAGATCAAAATAGTAGGGTAATGTTGGAACATATTGAAACTAATGTTGGCCCTCTTCCTAATAGCTCAAACTTTTGGGAGAATTGTTAAACTACAGAAATCCGAAGTTGAAAACTTTGTAATTGCACTCTCTAACATTGTCATCACAGGTTTAGCCTTTAATGTGTTCCGGGGCTAATAACTTAATATTCATGTGTTGGACTGTCCAATTTGCCTACATGTGAGGAGTGTGAGAATATGTAAAAACTAATAGCACACCTAGCTTAAGCTTTTGTGAGAATTGGTAAACTAACCAATAATAAACTCTATAATCCTAAAAATAAAATCTTGGTTTGGCCAGTTGCCTATGTCATTCCTATGATTGCTGTTTGGTTCTTTTATATTTCCCTGATAAAACTCTTTAGTTGCAAAAGCTTAGCACATATGAGGGAAGAATCTGTCCTACCAAGGACCTCACTAGGAAGACTGAAAAACTTTGTAGATTTACTACTCCTTCCCAAGGAAAATAAATAGTGGCTTTAACAATAAGTTTGTTATCAAGATCCTAGCCATCACAAAAAATAAGCAAATTATTAGTATTGTATGCGAAGATAATTCATATCTATATGCTTCAGTGGTGCAGAATTATATTCAATGTATGTTGGAGATGGTGAAGCCCTGCTCCGGAATACCTTCCAGAGAGCTCGACTTGCAGCACCTAGCATCATATTCTTTGATGAGGCCGATGTTGTTGCTGGAAAACGGTTAGTATCTCACAAACTTCTATTTAAACACACTAGACATTGTCAATAATGTTAGTCTGCGCGACCAACCTGCATAGATCTTTATTTGCATATTAAATATCTGTTTGGAAATCTGAAACTATTTTGGGGTTGTTAGATTGTATTATTAAAATCTAAAAGATGTCGTTTGTAGTTAAGAAGATTGCTGCTTAGCGCACTTAGTAAAGAAACGTCATGTCCTTTTTCCTAAATTTGATGTCTTTCAGGGCCTGTTTGGCATTACATTTAGAGGCTACTTTTAGCTTTCCCTAAAAAGCTACAGCAAGTCAAGGTATTTGGTAAATTTTATTTTTGTCGAGTAGCTTCTAAAAACTGCTGCCAAACTGCAGAATTTGAGAAGCAAGTCATGGATTGTTTTTGCACAACTGCTTTTGCTATCATTGTCCAAATGTACTAAAATAACTTTAATAATAAAACTTAATTCTTTATCTATTCATTATATATTTCATACCAAATTAAAAAATATTATTTTTTAAATATTTATTTAAAAATTAAAAATATTTAATAAATATACTATGTTAATTTTACTCAAATATTTTTGTACTTATAAAAATGTTTAAAAATAACAACAATAAATAATAAATTAACAATTTATATTTTAGAAATATTTGAAATAATAAATTAAATCATATATTTTTTTAGTATTTTGGTGTAAAAATATTATGAATATTAATCTTAAAAATAGAAATGAATATGGATCTTAAAAATAGAAATGAAACTAACTATAAATTGTACTAAAGTATGTCTATTTTAGTCATTATACATCTTCACAACAATTTTATACATAATTTACCAAAAGTATGTCTATTTTAGTCATTATACATCTCTACAACAATTGTATACATAATTTACCAAACACCTGAATTTCTATTTCGGTATTCACAGTAGTTTTGAAAAAAAATTATCAAACACTTACATGCTTGGTCACAACAATTTTTGACTAACAACACAACAACAACAAAAATTTTTAACAGCACAACAATAGCAAACTGGCCCTTAGAGTCTAAACGAGATGTCACCATTTGTTGTATTTGAAGGAGTTATTTGAATTGACAAACGTCATTCATATTCACAATGCTGTGCAAATTTTTCTTTCTAAATTTTATGTTATGTACTATAAAAATGCTTGAACAAACATTTTGTACTGCAAATTTTTACTGTTTCCCTTAACGAACTAAAAGTAAACTTTTTGTAGGAAGTTAGTATAAAAAGTACGTTATTAAAAATAAAAATAAAAAGAAAAGAAGAAAGAAAGAACGAACTGAAAAAAAGAAAAGAAAAGAAAAGAAAATTAAGATCTGAACCATATACATGTATATCCAAGTCTCAAAAAAATATGTATTGGAGGGGGGGAAAAAGAAAAAAGAATAGTATAATAAAGTGTCTTCATTTCCTTAAATTGCAGAGGTGGGAATTCAAGCAATAACATTACCGTAGGTGAGAGGCTTCTCTCCACTTTGCTTACTGAAATGGATGGTCTGGAAGAGGCTAAGGTAAGCATTAATCGTGTAAAAATGAATTTTTTTTTGGCTGTTTTCTTAGAACAATCTATACGAGTAATCATAGATGAATCATTGTTTTCTTGCAAAGTTAAATCTATTCACTCATTTCTGTTTCAGGGAATTCTTGTGCTGGCTGCTACAAATCGCCCTTTTGCAATCGATGCCGCATTGATGCGCCCTGGGCGCTTTGATCTGGTAGGAACTAACAACTTTAAAAAAAAATTAAATTAAATGCTGAAGTTGTTTGAACTTGTGAATTAACTTTGAACGAGAGCAATGATAAACAGTATAAAATTTTTTATCATGAATATCATAAAGGTATACGTGTTAAAGACCCAAAATTATGTAGATTCTGAAAAACTGAAATTAATGTTTTGTTTCAGTATTTTTAATGCTATGAAGTTATGTTTTAGTTTCTTGATGTGTCATTAAACAATTTTTTCACGAGGTGTTTCATTCCTTATTCTACATATGCCTTGACTTGGAGATCTAGATGTTCTTGTATAAAAGTTGGTTGAAATCTCAATATCCAAACTCCTCTACAATCAGTTGTTATTTCCAACTTTGCTTTAGGGTGCCTTTGGGATTTTGCTTTTACAACTCCTAAAAGCACACAAAAACCTATGCAACTATAGTGTTTGATTAAAAGGTTGAAAAGCACATTGCACAAAAGCCAATGCACTTTATAAGTTATTTTGAGAAGTTGGATTTTGTAGCTTTTAAGATTATACTTCTATTTCTACTTTTGTTTTAGACTATCTCTAATGCAAATGCTAATGCCAATTGTATATTTAGCATAAAAAAAAAATGATATGATATGTTATTTTTATTTTTGCTCCAATGCATGATGCTATTTGAAATGCTAAATCTAATTTTTTTTCATAATCATGAAGCTTTGAAAGTTGTAAAAGTAAACTCCTATTTTTAAAATAATTAGAACATGCAAAAGTTGTAATAGTTACATAAAAAATAAAATATTTCAATCAATAGCAATTAAATACCAAATTTCCCATATTCTATACTTGGTGAGAAATTTACCACAAAGTATAGCATATGAGAAATTTAACACAACAAATAGCATTGCATTGAAGAGTGTTTTTATACTCAAATGCTAAATTTGCAATTGATTTTATGAAAATGTAGGTCGTCTATGTACCGCCACCGGATCTAGAAGCCCGATACGAGATTCTTTGCGTGCACACTCGCAACATGAAAATCGCGGATGATGTTGATCTCCGTCGAATAGCAGAAGAAACCGAGCTTTTCACAGGCGCTGAACTGGAGGGCCTATGCAGGGAAGCTGGAATTGTAGCTCTCAGGGAAGACATATCCGCGACTGTTGTGCGTGACAGCCATTTCCAGACCGTCAAGAAATCCTTGAAGCCAGCATTAACCGAAGCAGAAATCGAAGCCTACTCGTCATTCATGAAGGGCCAGCCGTCCACATCCTCTGACCAGATTGAATTGGAATCTGTTGTTGCCAAGCACGAGTCTAGAAGGACCTCTTTAGGCCTAGTGTCTTCCGTGACAATAGGTGTTGTGAGTTTTGTAATCGTTGTTGCTGCGAAATATTTTCTGTCGAGTACGGAGCAAACTCGAGATGAACTAGCAACTACCTGAATAAGTTGAGAACTGGACGTTCTTTTTTCACATGTTCCTGAATATGAAGCATGAAAGGAGATGTCATTTTTTTTCATTGTTATTTTCTTCTATTGAATTTTGGTTTTGAAAGCAACTGTTATACCGTCGTATTTTATACTAATAACAACGCCTCGTCGTTCACAGAATTTTAGTGTCGTTCTCTTGCTCCCGAGTCCTGAGCAACGAACTCTCGTGTTTAAAACGACGCTGCTCTGTAGTTATTAGGTGGGGTAATTTACCAGGGTTAGTCCTTGAATTATGTGCATTCTATCATTTTAGTGTTTAAATTTTTAATTTGAACAAATTACTCTGAATTTTATTTTTATTTTTATTTTTGATCACTTTGGTCCTCTTTGCACTAAAATTGACCATAGATTTTAAAATTTTCATATACATCATCACATTCTAGACGATTAATAACTAAAATTTTCACATAAATAGTTGTATTAAATGCTGGATATTCCCTTCACTACTATTACAAATTATTAAAAACTAGACTAATTTGTATTTAATGTAATTATTTTTGTAAAAATTTCACTTTCTATGCGTCTGGATGTAATTATCTCTGATAAATTTTAAAAGTCATTTATCAATTTAAATGTATAAGGAGTCAAAAACTAACTTTCATAAGTAATTTATCAAAATTAAAAAAGCAGGTACTATTGTGATACGATACACATAATTAAAGGATTGATAGGACTAATTATCATTTATTATTGTTTTTCTTTTTTAAAGTTAATAGCAAAGGATAATTATTCCCAATGTAACATTATCTTCATTTATACTTTCTATTAATTTTAGAAGTTCTCACTTCACTATACTCTTAAGCTTTAAAAGAGTTTTACCTAACCTCTTCTCTTAAAATTTTGATTCAATATAGAAAGTAAAATTCATGAGAATGAGACTGTTGGGGGATAAAAATATCATTCTCAATGTTATTTTTTAAACTATTTTGAATTAATTTCACAAATGATTTTTGAGGTTTATCTTTAATCACATTTTAGTTCCTGACCTTTCAATCGTCTTAAAGTAGGTTCTTGAGGTTTTATTTTATTTTAATTTCGATTATTTCATCAAGTAAGTGTTAAAATTTGAAAGTATATTTGTAAATTAGAGATTAAAATTTGAAACAACTAAAGTTTTAGAACTATTTATGAAAATTAACTTTTATTTTTTTTTATTATTTTAATCCATAAACTTTATATGTTTTTAATTTTGAGTCTCTAATTTCCACAAATTCGTTAAATATTTAACACTGAGCTAATAGAATGATCTAAACTAAAATAAGGTATAATCTCATGGAGACAAAAATTATTTGTGAGACATTTAAAAATCAAGAATTAAAATAAAATTGAAGATAAACTTCAAAAACCATTTATGAGATTAACCCTCTTTTTAATAAAATTTTAATAGTAAGATTACTTCAAAATTTTTCCTTAAAAGAGAAAAGAACTAGGGGTGTCAATTCGTGTCGCGTGTCGTGTTTGTATCATGCCAGTTTTTTTTTCATGCGACCCCGTACACGACCTATGACACGAAAAGAATTGAGAATCGCGACACGAACACGACACGGTCAGATTGCGGGTTGACACGACACGAACTTGTTGAACCAAAATTGTAAATTTCAATCCATTTTGTAAAGATCTTAAAGTTTATAATCTGTTACATATATCATTCATTGATAAAACCCTCCGAAAATAATAACACTTTGGCACTTAACAAAGTA